ATCTTTTTCCTTCTCTTTTTGCATGCACCACCTTTTTAACATCATCAGCTGTTCTCACAGAATGCTTAGGAGGAAAGTCCTCTAAATTATGCAAGAAATATGATACTGCCATCATTACTAACAGCTATTGCTGCACAAACCTCTTGGTTATATGTTTTTTGGAAATCTTGGAGCATTAAGGTCAAGGCAATTTCAAACAAGTAAAGGTAGATGCTCAGTTGAAGAAACCAGTTATGGTCAATTGCCAGTAAAAATTAAAGACCAATAAATTGGTTTTGTCTAAATTCAAAGTAGTAGCAGTTACCTAGTGTTGCTGCAGGACACGGTTCAATGTATGATAAGGAAAAGGATAATTTTATTTTGCAACTCCAGTATTTATAGATTCTCGACAATGACCAGGGATTGGATAGTTAGGTTACTACCTTCCCAATCACACTGGTCTTGTGAAACGTCCATCAAAAGACGTTTCTTGGAAAGAACGTATACACATCTATGTTTATAGTTACTTTCCTGGGAAAGTGGCTAGAAACTATGAAAACAAGATCAGAAGGTTTAATTTTCAGGGCAACAACCTAGTGTTTTTTTTACACAATCCAGAAAGAACAAAACCAAGTATCATTTCTCAGGAGTAGTGAGTCATCATGTATTTTCTTGCTCTTTATCCAACTACAGCCTTGTGCTGTGAGCAGAAAAAGGAATTTAAAACAGAAAATAGACTACAAGACAGATTTGTATCTAGAACAGCTTTTTTCTTACCGAGCTGCCCTTTAAAACTTGATGATGACCTGGTAGTTTTCAAACTGCCAGAGCTCAGAAGTGAGGTACAAATTTAAGTATATTAAAAAGTTACCATTGCCTGTTACTGTCTCTGAATCTCCCCTTAAAAAGAAGGCAGAGACTTCAATTCATTAAAAACCATAATGTGCTCTCAAACTGTGCAGCGGAAAGCACAAGTTGAAGTCCCTTCCTAGGCAGTCTGGTCTTCTTGCCTGAGAGGAGTTGCTCATATAATGCAGTGGTTTTATTGCTAATTGAAGAGATCTAAGACTGGCTTTAGAACCAAAAGGAACGTTGAATTAATGAGCTTTGTACAGGCTGAAGTTTCAAACACCATTTGTTTCTGTCGTACACCTGCTATGCTTTTATTGGTGGTTCACAGTGTTTCCATTGTTTTTTACTGTATGGATCCATTAAAAATACTTTTCTTACTGCTTTCTACTAGAATATTATACACTAAACTGCATTTATTTTATTTTAAAGAGGACAACTATGGGAAGGCTGGGAGGGCTAATCTCCCCCAACTGCTGCACCTCCATGAGGATACAAACTGGACGGGACTTGAATCCATGTACAGACTAAATGAATTGTAACATTCACCTGAAGGACTGGATAAGTCTGAGGCTGAAACAGAATGTTTGCACTGCTGAGCTGAACAGAAGCAGTGAAATTATAGGAAATGCTATATTTTCAGAAATACAGGTCTCTGAAATCCACTATTGTACCTGCTTTTTTGCTTTGGATTATACCTCACCTGCTTCACCAGGCATTTTACTTCAAGAAGACACAACTAATGCTGATTCAGGAATTGACAGAGGAGGAAACCCAGCCACATCCCAAAGAGGACTGCCATTGCAGTGGCAGTATTTACACAGACAGCTGAAGGGACCTTAAAACAATTTCCAGTTCATCAGTGTATCTTTAGTTGTCATGAGAAAAACTTCAAAGCCAAGTACAACTCTGAAGCAAGATGTAGAAAACGAGGATGCTTTTGCTTATCACTGGGGTAAAGGTAATGTTGAAAAGAACTTTGAAAAGATTCAGGAAGTGAAGTCAGCAGCACCAAGTGTTCTCAACACCATGGCATTTCTTCAACTTCCTCCAAGGATACATTTTAGTTCCACATCTACTTGTCAATCGTATTGTCACTACAAAGATTAGAGAAAATCTTGACTACAGGATGCCAGATTTTTGGAGGAGTTGTGTAAATATTGATCAGTGTACTGTTTGAAAATAAATTCCTTCAGGTTGTGAAGAAATTTGTTAATAAAAAAGAGTGTAATGCCCACACACCATTTCTCAAAATGCTAAGGTACTGAAAAATCTTAGTAACCCTAATGTACATCTTAAATTTTAACAAAATCAGATTTGCAGGAACTTTTTTTATGTAGTAATATTATACTGTAAGTTCAAAACCAAAACAGTTCCTTTGAAAAAGCAGCATTTGCTTTGCAGTGTAACTTTCACATTTATTTTTATAAAAGGCAGCTCTGAGAGTTCAACACTTAGAGTCAATAATCTAGTTATACTTCAGTCTGCAAAAAAATAAATGTTCTGAATGACAGTTACTGTTCAAAGGCTTTCATAGGGGAAAAAAACCTATAATTTTACTAAGGAAGCACAGTGTACAGAATTATCTTAGTAGTTTCATAAGGGCATTATTACATATGTTGTAGTACAGGCACTAGTGGTGAGATTCGTATTTATCATTTGTATCATGTTACTTTGCTACCTGTTTTTAAAGGCAAATGCCTGAGGGTGCTTATGGGACAGACTCAACCAACTGTGGCCTTCACTCCTAACGAAGACGTATTTTTTTCAAATTGCAAACTTTACTTGCCCTTGTAGAAATGCAATATAAAAATATAGCACGGAAATGATTTTGAAACCCCTCCTGCTTTTGCAATTAGGAAAATCTAGAATTATATCCAGGCATATAGATCCCTGGTACCACAACCCCATACTCAAAAAATGTACTTTAATTTAGGAATGAGAAAAAAACCCTCCTCAAAAAGCAGAGGTGAAGTCTTTGTATATGCTAAGTAAGATTGGGCTTGAGCATTTGTATCACATGTGGTAAGTCAAATACATTACCCAAAACTTCCTTGCAAGCTTTTTTAAATTATGGAAGTAAAATCTGAATGTCTGTCTTATTCTAGCCATGTATTTTCATTATAACTTGTTAAAATTTCATGGATTATCAGAAAAATCTACTAGATGATGAGATCCTGGATTCATACAAGTAAGTAAAAAAATACTTAAGTTCCCCAAAAACACCTTTTTTTTTTTTTTTGCTTTCCAGGGAAAAGTTTTAGCTATCTGCCATTCCCAGTGTGCATGGAGAAAGAATATGAGGTTAGATTTTTAAAAAATTTGCATGCCCTTGTGTGTTTAGCCCATAGTCTCTGGCAAGGTGAGGCTGTGACTGTTAAAATCCTGTAGGGCTAGTGTTACTGCACATGTTACTCATCAGTCAGAAGGTTGAAAAGTTATCTTGTCCCTTTATAGAATATACTGAGCTGTGAGACTTGCATGTGACACAAGCAGCTGATATTTAATGAAAGGTATGTTGTTTCCAAGTTTGGGGAAAGATACCACCTCTTCTTTCAGCTCTTCTAGAGCTTGCTATTTAAGTTGAAAAAGACATAATTTCTAGGTGCTGCCAGTGCAAAATGTGTACCTCATAAGTGAAAGGTCTCAGCTTTTACAGCCAACTAGGATAAAATGTAAATCATTCTTCATACACAGTTTTCATCAGTAATAGCAGGGAATTTTCTTGGATCTTTACTGGGTAATCAGCCTTAAAGTATTAGCTCATACAGTGTCACCAAGTTCTGATTTTAAATAGAAACCTTTATTTACATTAATATCCAAACACAGAAACTAGAAGGGCAGTAACACCTTACAACCAACCCTTTTATAATAAATCAGTCCCCATGATTTTTCTGTTTTGCAAAATAAAGATACAGATATTTCAAGCAATACTTATAAATGTAATCTAAACTTAGATGCAATTCTCAATACCGTATGCCTTCTCCTGAGAATTTTTTAAAATATTGCTCTCAGAATTACATGGTTTCACACTTGCTGTATCATTCTGTCATCGGGTAGTCTGCACATAAATTCTATAATAAAAGGTGTGCGAATTGGTGCAACATTCAAGTAAGTTTTGTCTTGTGACAGAAAAGTGTTCTGAATTTCTCACTTTGGAAGCTGTATTTTAGGCCAAGAAATAAGTACACTACATATGAGTTTAATAAACACATTTTTCTTTGATCACAGATTTTTTGTGATCAAAAAAAGTAACAGAGACATAGAAAAACAACATTCATCTATGCAGCAGTGATCAGAGGTTGCTATATTAGTTAATTCATCTCTTAGTGCTGAATAATGTTACATGGGTTTTGTTTTAAAAAAATTCAGAAAAATCTACTGCTATAGGACCAGAGCAACATTGATGGTGGTAACTAAATGCCGAGAGACTTCAAACTAGATGTACTATTTAGTGCTGCCACAAAAGATGCCATCAATGCATTTTAAAATTGCCCCCTTGCCCCTTCATCAAGTTTAAACTAAAAAGCTTTTAATTCAGAAAAGAGTAGGTACTGGAAAGTGGCAACATTCTAAGCGGATGAGAAAAGGATGAGCCTTTATAATGGCAGTCAGGTAAGTACCAGTTATACATAGATGTATATACAGAATTACTAATTTTAAAAGAAATCATACTGCAATATGTATATAGCAATATATAGTTTAACAGCTCACCTAATGAAAGCGAGCAGTGTTTGTAGTTTCCATCAGTATAATGAACAACTACAAAATATGACTATTTCTCTGCTCTGATTTGATATAAAAGGCAAGGGATTGTTGCCTTTCACCCTCAGTAAGCAGCATTTGCGCAAAAAATAGATATGTTCCAAGAAATGAAAAGATAAAAGTTCCCTAGGCTTTTAGAAGTTTTGCATTATAAACACACATTAATTGGACTGAAAATTTCAAATAAATGCTATGATAATCTATATACTCAGTACTAGTGGAAGAGACAGGGTTGCATGAAGTAGATTGACTGGCTACATTCCCTTTGAAACAGAGTTGGCTAGCTGCTAAGGATAAATTTCTGAGAATATTCATACTGAAACTTCTGTTAAAATGAAAGATCACTGAACAGTCCGAACAATAAAACACCCTCTTGCTAACCGAGAATAAGCAAAAAAGAACACAGATCAGGGTTTTTTTTTGTTTCTTTTACTCACTTGGGAGAAATCAGTTTTCCATTATACAGTGAACAACAGAACAGAAGCACCACACATCTTAAACATTTCTGGGTCATCCCTTATGAAGGTTTAGCAGTTTAATTCCTTGTAACTGCAAAAAGTGCAAAGCACCCAAAATGGAGGTGGGGAAAAAACCCCCCATGCTATCACCAAATAATATGTAACCAGACTTAAATACTACTAGGACAGAAATCTGCTTAAAAAATACATTCGTTAATATTAGAACAAGCCAATAAGGTGTAGACATTTGGATAAAGTGTGGCTTAACATCCTTAAAGACTGCTGGATGTTACGTAACAACAAATATTTTGCAACAGACAAACATTTTCAAAGAACATTCAGTGTTCATTAAAATTGACCAAAAAGACAATCCAGATTCATCAATTGAAAAGGCAACCTATTACAAACAGACGTGTCTGTCCTGACAAGTTGTAAGATCTTACAATGCAGAGCCACCTTGTCAAATTGCCAAAGGTAAAAAGAAGTTTAACAAAAGTGCTCACAGGTGGAGGAAGTATTGAACAACCGGTTTTATTTTTTTATAAAAAGCTCTGTGTAAAAGATGTAAAAATAAATGAAGTGTTGAAGACCAAAGAAGAGAAATATGTGGGCCAAAGTCACCCAGCTTTCAGAGTCCTTAAATTTAGTAAAAAAAAAAAAAATTAAAAAAAAAAAAAAAATTTTGTTTGGACCTCAACTACACTCAGTTTCCAGAAGTCAATGGCGTTAAATATTCAGCTTCACAAACTCTGCAAAAATGAGTTAGTGACCTACAAAAGTCATATATATAATACACTATTTTAAAGATCCTATTTACAAAATTTATTCACAAAAAAGACTGCAAAATTCTGATTCTGCCTGCAGTGTTTTGCCTTGAGTTTTCTGAAGTTATTTTCAAAGAAAGATGAAAGATTATTGCTCTCATTTCCATACACAGAAAACATTACATTATGCAGTCTTTTGAAATCATTTTTAAGACTGTGTTTGAGAAGGAACATGAGTACACCCTATCTTCATATTAAGTAATTATCAAAGATATTGCATTAATCCATTATATAGTCTTCTATAAAGTGCACTCAGCTGCACAGCAATATGTAAATATTAGTCACAATTGTGTTTAAATAATTTAAATTGTTCACCCTCTTTTTAACCCTTGGCTTCAACAGATAGGATTTTGGACTAACATGTGCCAATTAATTTTGCACTGCTACTTTGCTTGGAAAATCCCTGACTCTCAGGGTAAGAGACTAAAAGCAGCATTTATATTCAGGAATTCATATAAAAGAGTCAAGGCTAAGAACTACATTCTCTGACAGATATTATTATTAGAGAAGTCAGGAAATTCTTACCACCGTGACTTCTCTGGGCACTTTTGTCTGCCTGGGCTCAACGCCTTTGGATAGCTACAGTAAACAGGTAAGTTATACCAGGAGTCTACCCATGAAATGTATTAAAATGGCATTACCAAATTCACATTTCTAGAGGAAGAGTGCCAAAAATATTAACCACAACATACAGTAATACATAGGCTGCTTCTACTAAAATGTATTTTTGTTGGGTACGGGGTTTTTTTGGTTTGTTTTCCTCTCGATGAGGAAACTGATCACTGGTTTCTGTAAGCCCAGTATGACTTGCCATGAAGAATGTGTCATTTTACTTTCTAACACCAGTGCATTCAGCCATTCTTGTTTCAAGATGTGGTTCTATATGTCAGCAGTATTTCTGTTAAAGAAAAGATACTTTGATCAGAGAAGACATCTTTACTGAAAGAAATCGTTCATGTACTGTATTTGGAAGAAGGAACTATTGGCAATAAATGCTTAGAAGCAGAATAGCTTCTTAGTGCTTCAATTTGAAAAAAATTTTTTAGAAAATAAATGCTGTCCTAGAATTTCCTAAACGCACTATTTGGGTAACTTTATGTCACATAGATTTGGAGAATCTGACATTTCAGCTTTATATTCTCCTCTTTATGAAAGGCATTTTTTTGTATCAAAGTCCTCCAAACCTTTACTTACCCCACAGAAAGCCTCATTATTCTGCTCTGAGGACTGCTTCCTCAGATATGCTGGATAAAATTTCATGAGATACTTTCTACTTGAATAGATTTAGCTTCTGTCAGTGTCATGTTGCTCATCCTAGGTAGTTTGTGGAAAGATTGTATCAAAAGTGTAGTTTGTATTTCAGCTTTCTTTTCTGTGCCTGTTACTAGCACATTGTCACCTTACACGAGAGGGTCTAAATTTTCCATAGTTTCTGGCTATGCATAACTTTTTCTAAGGTATTGTAAGGGCAAGTGTCATTATCAGTATCATTACCAGAAGGATACTGCACTATCAGGACTCTTAGCCTGACTTGTAAGAGCTCTTATATACAATTTTCAAGATCCGCTGAAGATGCATTTGACAATGTCCATGGGTTTTTTTACTGAGCTTTCTCCAGCTTCAGAAGTATTTCATCATCCTTTGTGCAGTTTAAGGCTTGATCCTACCCATGATACTTCAAAGTCAACAGTTAATCCCAGCATACAGCTTGGGTTCATTGTAAATTTGCTTATGTATCATCAAAAAGAAAGTATCTCTTAGGACATAAAATTAATATTCCCACAGATGCAAATACAAGCGAGATAACTGAGAGCAGGATTGTGCCAGAGGAGTGGACTCAATGGAAAAAGAGTCAGCAAATCTTTTCATCAGTCTCAATGTACGACTTACCTGGTCTGGACCCATAGGCAGTCCTGACATAGGCATGGTATTAATACTCATCTGTCCAATGTGGCCACTGCTGCCATTCATGTGCATCATACTGTACACTGCTGGGTTACCTTGATGGCTGAACTGCTGCTGGGGAAAAGAACTGAAGTACAAAAGGACAAATAAAATCACCTTCCAAGAAGTTTACACACTGATGTATTGCCTTCCCTGCACCAGCTGTCAACATGTGAAAGATAAAACTATTTTCACATTTACCTGTAGTATCTAGCATGGAATTTTCTTTTACCTAGTATCTAACATGGAAACTCCCCCTCCCAAAAGGAATTTATGTTTTTAGAAATGCACAGTTGTATGTGTATGCCTAATGGAACATTTTTGGAAGCTACTATTACAGCTGTATCATCCATTATAATACTATTTGATATTTTGTATTTCACCACCCCCTTCCCCAAGTTATTTTTTTCTTTAAATATTAAGTTAATATTTAAAGACTGTTGCTTCTGGTTACAAAAATTGTAGAGGTTCAATATGAATCAATGGAGCTAAGCATAAAATACACTTAATCATTTTATTTCCTGAATCAGAGCAGGATGAAGGACAACACAGATACTAGGAAGACAGTTACTTTTTCCTCTAGTAAATCCTTTTCCTGCTACATGCTATTTAACATAGTTTCTACCTCCAGCAAAATGAAAGACACTTTTTGAGAAACGGGTTGTAATCATGAAGTTCACCTGTTTCTGGGCATGCTTCCTGAGGGCCAGCCCTTCATCTCTGAGGACTGGTACATTGTTGCTGACTGAGGATGCTGCAGCATAGGGTTCTGTGAGGGTCCAATTCTTGATGATATCATTGGATTGGGAGGGCTTGATACTCTACTAAATGCAGATTCAGGTTGCTGGCTTATTCCTTAAAATAAAACAAAGGAATCAGACACAATTAACTTCAGTTATCATCACCTAGTACTTCTAGTTTATCTTCTTGCAGTGATTGGAAGGGGAAAAGTCATCCTTTTTTGTAGCAGTATATTCCACTTTTCAGAATGATTCGTATTTAGGTAGTTTGGATTAATAAAAAAAAAGGGGAAAGAACAAATGAAAAAAAAAAAGCGCCAAACATGTTAGTACTAGTACCATAATTAGGTGGATAGGGGAATTGCTGTGAAGGAACTGGAGCCATTGGAGGGCCTGTCAAAGCACTATCCATGCTTCCTGAGGCTGTCACATTTGGTGGTGGACTGAAGGCCTGAGGTTGCTGTTGCTGTTGCATCATCATTGCCATCCTCTGTTGTCTAAAATGGTGACTTATCAGTTCCCTGTTTCGCTGAGCCACCATTTGAGCATTAAGAAAACCTTGCTGCTATCCCCCAGAGAGAAGAAAAATCGTATTAGAAGATGCTTTTACAAATAAAATCATATCAGAGTCAATCAAATTCATTCCTAAGACAGAAAGTCAAGAAAAACCCACAGCCAGTACAAAAAATAGTAATCAAAATATTAAGACAAAAGTTTCAATTAAACTGTCAGTAGTGCTAAACAAATGATGATATTTTACACAGAAAGACCTGGCATACTCAATTGACAGCATGACATAATGAACAAATCCCCCTGCAATCTCAGGAATAAGGGAGGTAAAAATCCCCCTTTTTCCTTAAATTATGCAGAGGAACAAAACCAAAGAGGAATGTTGTAAAGCCACGAAAGAAGGCTGAAATTCTAAACAGATGGCTACTGTAATAAGTACTTACCTGGGATCCCACCTGTGGCTGCATAACTGGTCTCATCACTGAGTTAGTACCGCTTACTGGATTTTCCATTTTTATTTCAAGCGTTTGATGGGTCTGATTCATAAACTTGGAAAAAAGACATTTTAACACTATTAGCTTGAAAATAACAGTATCTGAACAAAGTAATGGCAACTCCTGCAAAAAACACTTTCTTTACAGACCTCTTGAATCCATAAAGTGCAATGGCTAATTTCTGCGTTGTCTAATGTACATGAAGAACCAAACTATTTGTTTAAATAGCACAAACACACAAAAAGAAAAACCCTTCAAACAGTGCAGCATTAACTGGCTTTGGTTTTTTATTTCCCTTGAAATGAGCACCCCTTAGGAATAAAGAGCAGACTATCTATTTGTTTCGAACAATTAGTGTCACAGAAAACAAAGAGAGAACACAGTATTTCCTAACACTGCCCATTCCATGTGTGGAGACAAAAGGGTTGAAAAATGGAAGATTGTCAAGGAGAGAGAAGAAGTTGTTTTTAGAATGGTTTTCTCTCAAGGACCAACCATGCACCTGGGAGATGTTAGAAAATACCCCGGCTGAGAAAATTCATGTATTTATGTTTGCTCTCAGATGTTGTCTGTCTATAGAGAAGAAATGGAATTTTCTCACAAAAGACAGCAGGATGTTGTTAAAGATTTTTAAAAGCCTTTCCCATATACTTGGGCCTCTCTGTAAAGGTGGGGGAAGGGAGATAAGAGGGTTTGGAGATGTGAAACTACAGCCTGGTGAAGGACTGTGCATGCTCCAGGCCCTTTTGATATGGAATGCAGAGCTGAGGCCTGGGTGCTTTTTGCCCCTGCTAAAATGAGTTTAGCAATATACGTGTCTCTGTTTTTTGGAATCCAAGATGATGGAATAAACCTACTCTTTGCACTTCAGCTGTGTTGTTGTTGCCATCTGCATGTATTCTGTTCACACACCATGTCACACAGCAGTAGTTCAGTTTTCCTAGTTTTATTTGCACACTGTATTTAATACCAAGCCTGCATTTTCACATGGGGAAATCAATGCTGAATCCTTAATCATGCACCAATTTTTTAAGGAGTGTTCTCAACCTAGTGTAAAGATCTATGTGTCTGTATCCTCTCACCCTTCATCCGAAGAAAATACCTGAGATGACATCAAATCACCAAATGGAAAGCAAACCCATATATCAATAAGCCAAAATGATTAGTTAGAAAGCACAGTGGGAAGAAAGCAACACCTGATTTACAGAAGAAATACAGCTCCTTGAATGTGCTAGCTGTGAGGTTCTGAAAAAATAGAGATCATGCAGTTACATTGTACAAAAGCACTGTTTTAACTAGCAGTAGTTTTGTGTGCTGCAGGAACCAAGCTGATGAAGGAGAAACACTTGTCCTAATAAATGTTCTTCCACTCCTACAGCCATCAGGTTCAATGAGAACCACTGTCAAAATAAAAGATCCACCCTCTCAATTGTCTTTTGTAATGTCCATTGTTATGTATGTGAAGCAACACAATTCTGTGTGCAACTGATTCCATTCTGAAACATGAAGGAAGTGAAAATGTAGGAACAAAGAATTACCTGCTGTCCCTGGAGCCTCTGCTGGAGCTGCATGCGCAGCTGCTTTGGTGTGTTGGCGCGAGGTCTCATCACATTTGCTCGGGGATGCAAACTTTGCAGAGGAAAATTGCTTGGTTGGCTCATCTGATTCATCACTGAATTAAAAGACGGCTGTTGTCCCTGGATGTTACTAAAACCTCCTGGCATTGCTACCCCTTGCCCTTGATAGGGTTGACCATATAACAAAGGCTTCTGGTCAATCATAACTGAAGATTCCTGACCTTGAAATGAATCTTGTTTGGGTTCCAAAGCTTGTCCCTTGAACAGATACAGAAGCGCTTTCACTAGTATATATAGAATTCCTAAAGAAGCAATAAAGTTAACACAGCATTGTTGCCCTGAAAACTCAGCTTCTGAGCTTGCTAACAGTTTTCTAAGGACTTTCCCAGGACAGTAACTGTAAACATAGATATGTGTACATTCTTTCTGTTACACATCTTGTGATGGGCATCTCTCATGGCCAGTGCAGTGGGGAAGTGTTATCCTGACCATCCAATCCCTGGCCGTGGTCAGAAGCCTATAAATCCTGGCCGGAAAAATAAACTTTCTCTTCTTTTTGCCACACCTCGACCTGTGTGCATGTGATCTATTCATCTTCAGCGGCAACACAGCATAATACACCAGCCAGCAATTTTTTGGATAGAACATAGCATGGACAACTACTGTTAGTTCTGTGTCAAAACTAATGAAATAGCAAAAGTGATTTATACTAATAACCATTATTTTTAAATCAATTTTGCTACACGCTGCATACACAGGCAGACCAGTGTCACCATTCAAGCTCTTCTGCACTTTTTGATGGTATTTGTACAAATGATAGTGTCATGTTATGAGTCTTAGCAACTTCCAAATTACAGAATTTCTTTTTCCTGTTTGCTAGCCATGCAAATTCAACCTGGAGCTGAAGGAGAGGGAAGCATCCACATCACTGCCAGTCAATTAATTCACAGCCTAAGCTCAGCTGATGGCAGGCTACTAAGGAAACCCAACACAATTTTCAGCTTATAGAATTATAATGAATTACACCCACACTAATGAACTCCAACCTATAAATAGCAAGGCATTATGCAATAAACTTCTGTAAGAATATGCCACTTTATATTTCTTGTCATGCACAAGAAATTTAATCCATACTGAGCTTCAGTACCCATTGAACATCGCTAGTCAATGTAAAGGTTTCCAAAGGGAAATATATGACTATGAAGATGATGTGAGGAGATGAAGTAAATGAGCAGGCCCTCTTCACTTTCTTTTCAAGTAACAAAAATAATACTGGTCTTTGGAACATAAATGGCCAAAATATCTGTTTACTTACTTGGTTTACAAGATCAGGAATTCCTAATGCTCTGTCAATTTCTTCCAGACCTGTGACATCTGTATTACTCAGTAATGTGTGCAGCTGATCCAGAAGTGCCCTTTCATCATTCTGGCCTTCCATGTTTGGTGCCGAACATAAAAGATCATCCAAAGAGCTTCTAACTAATTGTCTATAAATAAAAAAAAACAACAAAACACTAAAATAATAGAATCAATAAGGTTGGAAAAGACCTTCAAGATCATGGAGACCAACCTTTGAGTGAATACCACCTTGTCAATCACACTTACAGCACGAAGTGCAACATCAATTTTTTTCTTGAACACATTAGGAATGGTATCTCCACCACCTGCCTGGGTAGCCTGTTCCAATGCCTGACCACTCTTTCAGTGAAGAAATTCATTACAACCATTACAAGGAAAACTAGTTTTTATATAATGTATTGACCTGGGTATGATTAAGTATTATAGTCACCCAGATGACTGAAGTAAGATTTAACAACTTAAATCCCAAATTTATGTCCTAAAATGTCCATCAGCCTTCTGTGCATCCTTGAATACACATAAATTCTGTTTTGTCCTGGCTTCTGCCATGTGCCACAGAGTGATGATTTCAGAGTCCCCTCTCTTTCTTCTGTGCCTCCCAACTCAAGGATTGATCAATTTTATTAACAATGCCTTTTGTGAAGCTGGGTTAAAAAATATCCAGTGTCAGATCATCAGCAGAAAGGAAACATTTCTGAAACACTCCAGAAATGGAATTCTGGCTGCAATCTGTTATCCCCACTGTGTATGCTACACAATTTTATTTCCAGGTCTTAAATTCTTCCGACAGACAGCAAACAGTTTGTATTGAGAAATACCTTAAAACCTTCCCCAATTCTACCTGTTTTGTGAACCCCGTGATGCTTGCTCCATGGACATCATATTGTCAGGCCACAATCCAGGTTGGTTAGAAGGTCCAGGCTGTCCATACAGATTTCCTCCCATGTCAACATTTATCTCATTTGGCCCTGCAAGGTGAAACATTTCTGTATTTTTTAAAAACCAAAGGTCTCATCTTGCTCTCCTAGTGTTCACATTAGGATGATCACACAAATTGTCAAGCAGCTTTGTGAGCTTTCCATTATGTTTTACAGTGTATGCACACATAAACTGACAGTCAAGGTAATTTCACATATATAAGACAACAGATCAGACAGCAATCTAGACCTGCTACCCTTTTAGAGCAGAATTGCTATTTCTAATCCTTTAGCCTCTAAAGGATTAGAAATTCAGGCGCACAATAGACATAGCACTTTACATGAAAAACAAAACCCCAACAAAAATTCTGGACAATGACATCTGGGTACCAGCAAAGATAGAGTCATAGTGACATCAAAATCTGGCATTTTAAATTCCAACACAGAGTTGAAATCAAAAGAAACAGGAAGTATACATAACATTTTGCTCTTTGGGAGTGCTTTCTTCCTTCTACCTATCCAGGGACATACAGCACTACATAGGAGAGTTTATGTCATTCCATTATTTCCCAGTATCTGTATGAATCACCCAGCATCTACGATTTCTAGGAAGTTAGGCTGGAAAATTCTGACTTAGTCAGGACTGCACAAATTTCTTCTGTATTTAATCTTATATCCATTTGTTGCATTGAAATAGTAAGTCTGTTTAAGAGAGCTGGTAGCTTTCCATTATAAGGAAGTAATGCTGTCTATTTAAGCTGATTCAGGGCATACTGGTATTGGCACAGTAGACTGGAGAATTTTAGCTCTATAGTAAACCTTTGTTAAGACATATAGAACAGAAAAAACCCGCAGGCATTAAGACTGCTCATATTTTAGACACACGGCTTATTTTCTCTCATGCACACATGAATACTTTGAAGAAAAACAGTATTTGCAATATGGATTTATATGAAATTTGGCTACTTCATGTGAAAAGAATTTTGAAATACTTGAGAGAAAAACTTCTTTAAAAGACATTGATTACCAAGAAGTTAACAGGAAAAGAACAAAACAAAAACAAAACAAAAAAAAACAAATCTATATCATATAGGATGAATTAAATTAACCACAATCCTAGTATCTTCACATATGGAGTCATAGTTGCCATTTAGCTCCTGGAATTTAGCAGAGAAGTATTGCACTAAAGAAATACACAGAAATTATCCCCCATGAAATCTCAGGACCCAGGACAAATTATTTGTGTATGAGATACACAGCACCAGAAGAAAACAAGAACATCACCAAAAAGTCATAAAACGTCATAGTGAACGAACGTAGTGAGTTTCTACCTCAAAAAGCCTTTCAATGAAAAACTAGCATTTTACCAGAAGTGCAAAGATTCTTCTGATGAATGCTCACCAAGAAACCAGTGAGACAGTGCTATGTAGGACAGTAAATTAAGAACTTACTCATGTGAATCATTTGCTGTTGCAGCATTGGCCTAGCACCAGGTATGCTGTTAGAGCGAACAGGCAGCCCAGACACAGAGCCAGCCTCTGGGGTCCTCGGAAGGGCTGCACTAAATTCAGGTCCCGGTCTCAACACTGAAGCAGAACTTGCAGATTCCAATCTGCAATTCACTTTGGAGTTTGGCAAACCCCAGTCTCCTGACTGATGTTGATTCATCACCAGATTTCTGCTGGGAGCACTTGCTATAATAAAGAGCAGAAAACACAAAAATTTATTATCTGGAATACATGATGTATTTTGTTTTTAGAATTATTTTCCTATTTCACCAGGAGCAATTGGCTCAAGTCCTACAAAAGCATCTAGAGCTCACCATGCCGAGTTCTAAATCATAAAGAAATTATATGAGTCTAAATATATGTAAAATTCATAATGACTGGCTGCCACTGTGAACTGTTCTTGCTTCTATATATCAAAAGCACATGTTAAATTAAAAACTCAAGACAGCAAAAAATAATTTAACTAATGAAAGTACTGGTAATGCACAGACAGTGAACAGTTGTGCTTATAATTTTAGCTAAGATAATAATTCAGAAGTATTAATGATGGTAAAATTAAAATTCTTTAATGTTAAAGGTTCTTCTAACTCAAATTTGTATTTTAATCTGGCAACTTTTTTACATAAGAGCTATTTCCTTTACAATGAGAGCTGTTTGTATGCAACCAACAAACCCAGATTTGCTCCAAAATTTTCTTGATTTTCAACCATTCTTGGACTTCCACTGATCAAGTTTTGCTTTTGTAACATGGAGAACGCATTGACATTCCTCACTGAAGCACCTGAGCCCATAGGGCTGTCTAAGGACAAGGCTCTGTTAAAAGGTGGGCGGGTAGTCTGCACAGACTGGGGACTCTTCACACCTGTTAAAGAATTAAAAGATGCATGCAACTGTATATTTTAAATAAAATATGCTATTAATGACTTAAATTAGTCTCATCTCTTTATAAGCTCATATACTTGATCTTAAGCAAGCCAGGAACAGTTATGTTACTTATGTTTTCATAACAAAAATTCACATTTTGAACACATACTTAGGACCTTTTGCAGGAAAAGACAAAGGCAGTTCCCTTTGGCCCTACACAGAAAAAGAGGTTCATTTTAATTTAAGTTCTGTAATGAACTTATTATTACAGACTTCTTGATAGATGTAAGTGGACTGCCCTGACTTTGGTTAACTCACACATGGAAGTAGAAACAAATAGTTCTGTTTGGAACAGCAGAAATCCAGATATGTTGTGTTCCTGAGCACAGTGTCCTCTACAGACAATTAACCCACAAATCACCGTGCTTCACAGCCAATAGTGACAGTGACCTTATGTGTTCTTGTACCTGGTTTTATATTTTTTCATTATACATGTTTCACCTCCTTTAGTTATTTTAGCAATTGCCCTATATAATCAAGAGATGACCAGTGCCATGAAAGAAAGCAGCAACTGCCATGATGCTGGTCTGTTAGCTAGGTTATCCTCCCCTCCTCCTCAGCCTCCTACTAAGGAAGGGCATTCCTTCTGATGTTAAGGAGGATTAATGATTACAATTTACTGGTCACAAGATGTTTTCATATAGAATAAGAAAGAAATTAAAAGCTTGTCACCAATCCCATGTTATATCCCTAGTCATCAGTAAGGGATAAAAATTTTCAATTTTAATTTACAATGCACAGAACATCTTTCCTGATGACTTGTCTCTGAGAAATCTATATTAGACAAAGCCAGAATAAACCATAAAGCAAGGAACTGAATGTTATTCATTGTGTATATAGTAGGTGAGTGCTGTCAAGGCAGCTAATAGTGTATATAATAGCCTATGAAAGCATAACTAGCCATTTTGCATTACATTTGTCCTTGGACAAATAGGAGATGAAAATATTCTCTCAGGGTTTGAGGATGCATTATGTTTACATTAGGTAAGAAGAAAACTCTAACTTTAAAACCCAGGTGGTAGATTTAATTCCTTACCCAACAGGGTATTTCCTTGAAATAATGCTTGCTTTGTTCCAGGATTGTTACCATTTGCAGACATAGCACTATTGTAAAACTCTGAACTAGTAAGATCACCTAGAATTGCATCCAAATTATCCAAGTCTCCATTCACCTGAAAATGATGCAGGAAAATACCAAGGTTATTTACTCTCATAGGGCTACACTTCAATTTTTACTTAGCTCCTCACTAATCTTAAAATTTATGACTGGGAGACAAATGTTTTAATACACTGACACTATCTTGAGCTATCTTGTTCGTAAGTTCCAAAGAACTTCAGATATCATTTAGATACATTTCTTTTAGAGTATTTTGCTTGGGTAATTTTGAGAATTAGCAAAAACCACACATAACTAAAATGAAAAGCACTTCTGAATATAAACATTTCAATCATCACAAGTTACAAAGATAAAAACAACAATGTGAACAACATCAAGAATGTCTACCATTCAGTCTACCATACGCAAAAAGCTACTAGCGAACGCTACAAGACACGAAAATTATGCACAGATTTTTCTGGTGAGTTGGAGCCCTAACTTCCTTTAAAAATTTGTCTTTAAATCAGATGCAGTTTCAACAGAAAAATAATTCATATATAGTGGATCCATATCTTCACAAAATAAGTTTCTCTGAATATCTTAATTACATCTCAGGAGCAAGTACTGAAATTACATGTTGTGTACTGTTACGGAGTTGTTAGTGATTTTTCTCTAAGTTGTATTCAAGGAATGTTGTAAGGTGTTTCATTTATAGTCAGACAGTAGTTAATATAAAAATTGTAGGAATTTTTTTGTTGTTGTTGGTTTTTGTTTTTGTTTTTTAATTTACCCAATTTGGGTAAATTCCCAGAATTGGGAAATTCAAGGTCTAAGAAATTTATATATCTCCAGTAAACTCTGCCATACTGACCAGTACTACATTCAGAGTTCCAAATCTTTGGACTTAAAAACAAAAATGTTATATAAAGATTATTATTTTAAGAACATCTGTTCCTAACAAGTGTGCTGCTGGCTTCAGAACAGTTGCTCTATGGTGCTAGTTTTCTGTATCATGACATTTCTTAGAATTCCAACTCTAGAATTTATTTATTTGTGTTTATTTATACAAATTATATTTATATTTATACATTTTAGTATGTATTTATTTGAATGCTGAATATATATATATATATATATATTTGGAAGAACATATTCCCTCATATAAGGAAAGAAAAAGAGTGCTAAAACAAATGAATGCACTAAACCATACCATGCCTATTTCAAGTATTGCACATTTTTGTGTACATTTTATAATTTCCAAACGAAATTATGTTTTACCTTTTGCTCTTGTATTGCCAACTAATTACTACTGCCAACTAATTACAGAGGTAGTTATGGCCCTGTTTCCTCTTAAGCCATAAAACCAAACATGTGCTAAGAAGATCTAATTTTAAGGAAAAATTTGTAAATATTACCTTAATTGTACCATAACTAATAACGTTAGTCCAGGACTTCAGGAAATCAGATTTGTAGAAAAAAAGAATCTGTAGTTCTTTTTGTTTGTGCATTTTCATTCACAATTAAACCTGAATTTATTGTTTCTCATCATTTGCACAGAACGTTTTTAGAAATGTTTATATGTATACATAGGCATACTGTAGTGTTTTGTATTTAGTCATTCACTTTAATAATAAAATATTGGTTAGCTCACTGCCATAATTTTAAATTATACTGTACCTCCTCTGCTGGCTCCATTTTTATTTTCATCTCTTTTTCTTGACTTGAAGTAGGATTTGTAGAACTTGTGCATTGCCCCATCTTATTATCCACACCCTCTACTTTAGGCTTCAACTCTTTGGAAATTGGCTCCTTAATATCATCTTTATCTAGTAGATATCTTAGTAAAGCATTGTTTTCTTTCTTCTTTGGGCTCAGTTGATCTTGTTTGACAGTGCCTTCTCCACAGGAGGCTGTGTTACTAGCATCATGATACGTGTCTTTACCAGTAGCTTCAGCTGTGATCTTGGCCACCTCTGCTGGAGAATTACCATTCTGCAACAATTTATGTAAAATTCTGTGCTTCTCTTGCAGGAGCGACCCATGCATGTTTGAGGAGGAAGATACCCCACCAGATGTTGATGAGGAAACTCCTGAAGGACTTGTAACGCTATTAGAAGATTCTTTACAATTTGAGTCTAAAGGTGAGTTTGATGCTCTAGAATGTCCTCTTTCATCTGAGGAGCATGTGAGCAGCTGAAGGAGTTTTTTATGCCCTTTGCTCTCAGATGGTCCTCTCTGACTTTCAGATGCCTCCAGATTTCCCTCTTTACTATCTTTTTCACTAAGGAGATCCCTGCTGTTTGACTGACAGATGGAACTTTCCACTTGGTTTTGTTCACAATACAAACCAGAAGGGCTTTTGTAGTCCTGGGTACTTGTTTTACTTTGCTGAGTTATGCTAATGTTTGAGCAATTATCCAATTTTGGACCCGGTGAAGAAAGTGTTGACAAAAGGGAATTTCCAACACCCTCACTAATGGCTTGCAGAGCACTAAGTGAGCTGCTAGAGAAAGTGCTGTTGCTAGTGTTGCTGGCAGATCCCATTGGTGAGTGCATACCTGCATCATGTGACAGAGATCAAACTTATTAGATTACAGTACTGCCTGTATCTACTCTTCCTTTAGATTATGTATGACTGCCACATTGAGTTAATAATTTTAAAATACATTTTTACCATGAAGTCAGGTATACTACATTTAAATAACACATACAGGGTCATATAGAACAGTTAAAATGGATGAAGATGGAATTCAGATAATAGTTCAGAAAAGACAGCTTGAAAAAAAAAATAACTTAGAGCAAAAATAAAATACCTGTAACTGGAGAATACTGGTGTGAACTCATTTTTGGACTCCCTCGATTCCTAGGAGATACCATTAGAGTCTGTTGGTTGGAAGTTAAGCCAGGACTACCATGTGGTGGGCTACTTATATTTAACCCAAAACTGTTACTCTGATAAGCAGAGGACTGCATTCCGGGTCCGGAGTTCACTGGCCCCATATTCCCAGGGCCTCCATATCGAGTGCTGGTGAGCTGACCCACTGCATTGGGATCTCCCATCCCATAGTTCCTGTTCTGCGTTGGTATGGCTTGACCAGGTGACATGTTTGTAAGACCATTAACAGAATTTGTGCTTCCGGTTACAGGTGTTCTGATGTTTTGCCCAAGAGAATTAGGATTTGGCCGATATCCATTTTGTTCTCTGTAAATTCAACATCATCCCCAGAAACCAAAAGAAAACAAATTAAAACCTTATTTGGATTAAATAATTGCCCAAATATTTTTTCCTAAAGAGAGCAGTGAGAATTCAAGCTTCCACAAAAGCAGAACTAGGCCATGATATTCATTTATTCACTATAGAAATGCTTGATCCTTTGGGGGCTTTGAGTTATAAGCACATACAGTATCACTGCCTCAAAAAGCTTTAATTAACGGTCAGATTATTAATCAGATTTATCAATTTAAAGATCCTCCTTCTTTTACCCTCCTGCTGAGTCAATGCCTGACACCATTCTACTGTGCACATTAACAATGCGTGACCCTGAACAAGTTCAGTTACTAATTTTTCAGCATCTAGAGGCACTCTAATGCCAGAAGGAGACAGATACCCTCCAAAGTGACATTTCAATTACTCTTGCAAAGAACAAAAACAGGTCATAGGAAATACTACTTAAGGTACATTTCAGTTATGGATTATGCATCTGAGAGGGTTTTGTTGTCTTTTTAATTGGTCTGCAAAAACATGTGACTGAGCATTTATATTTTCAGTATTTCATCAATGTTATCACAAAAGACTAATAAAAACATAGCACAGGCTTTGTGCAGGTATTGAGAAAAAAATTCTCTTTTGACTGTGACTATGTGTCTTTCTGCCACATAGTGAAAATTGGACTCTGCTAGGTTTACACATTTATTTGTATGCTATGCAGCTCTGCTTCCCAAATTACTCCCCATTGGAGTTTTAATCAGGTAAAAATGTTTTAGTATGCTATTTTCCTCAGGTTATCTTCAAGGTCAGATGTATTTTTAAGAGCTGTGACACTTAAATTATAAACAGATACTAATTTCACCTTTGAAGGAAGTGGGTAGAGACAAATCCATGGCGGTCATTATTCACAGGATTTCGAAACAGTTTACTCTTTGTTTGTGCAGTCACTATTGTACCATCCGCTAAAGAAAACCGATACAATGGGGTTTCAGCATGACCTTGTGTATAAGCTGTAAAGGAAATATACAAATATAGTTAATATTTAAAATCCCAAGAATTATTAATATGAATTATAAAATATTTTTGACACAATACCCTTAATTTACTGAAGACTGAAAAAAAACACCAAAAACATAAAACTTTAAAAATGAATGAATGAGTAAATAAATAAGACTCAAGACAGATACAGAGAAAAAGGAAGTATTCCACAATTTCTGCTCTATCAATAGAGGGAAGATAAAACAAACAAGATTATTTTGACACTGCAATATTTTGTACTCACCAGACACAACTGGCAAAGTTCTACATTTGTTAATAGACTTCTGAGGCTAGATTATGGATTCCATGGCTCTCGCTTGGGAAAGCATTTTTAAGTTTGCTTCAATCAAAAAATTGTGGAAACTACTGGTTTTAATTTGAGCTTCAAATCTCTTGTTAATGTAGGATTAATTTGATCAATTATGTTGAAGAACTATCAATGGAATGGAAAATCCGTTTTCTGACAGTATGAGTTTCTCTTTATTTAGTATCTCCTCTGCTTGAATTACTTTGTAAATCCTCCAAAAAGACTAGAGTTTGGAATAATTAGAAAACATCATCTTTCTTACTGAAGACTGTGGCTGTACTTCACTTATCCATCAAGGTTATCTAATTAGCATTACAAAATATGTGGCACTGGAAAACTGAAAATATTTTGAGCCCTGTGTCTTGAGAACAAGAAAAAGGCATCAAGACAACTATTAACACTTTCAGAGAGTGGTTCTTTAACAAAGGAAAAAGTGAATTAAAATAATGTCAAACTAACATTAACCAAAAATAACAAGCTAATGATAATTAAAAATGACATATCATCACAGAAATATAACTGTCTCTGTCATTGATGTATCCATCTGTGGAAAAACAGCTTCCTTGAGGACCCCAGATCAGGTATTTCCCATGCTCATTTCCTAAACAAGCACATGGAAAAAACAAAACAACTTCCAGCAGAATTCCTCATTCTCAAGAGGTCATCCTCTTGAGGTCATCCATAGTAATTAACAAAACCCATGAAAAAAAAGGAACACAGGCAGAATTTAGCATTTTTGTTTTTCAGAAAAAAAATGCAGCCCCTAGGAGAAGCAATATGATCCAAATACTGTAAACTGATTTTTACCTTCATGATAGTGGCGTTTATTTGACCAGGACTGCCCATCATTGTGGCATAAAAATCTCTGAATACACCGACGAATTATATCTTCAAAGCCAGGTCTCATGGAAGATCGTAGTGAGTTTGTATCAATGTTGACAAGTTTGCCTTAACAGGAAAGAAAATACACAAGTTAAACTCTTTATGTCTATGACAATTCTTTTTGTATAAACGTACATTTCATAAGGCTCCAATACAACCCTTTTAATCACCAAGTTCTGAGCATGCATAAATTATATTTATGAATTATCTGACATATGAGAATATGATGCTTCTTGTTAAAGTATCACTATTCAAAGGGATTTATATAACTGAGTAAGAGGAAGTTAATCGCCCACGGGTCAATGCCAGAGCTTTAGAAAACAGTAACTTTAGTCTCTAGTTACAGGCACCTAAGGGATGCACACAGAGTAAAATTTTAAAAAATACTGAGCAACTACATCAAATGAACACCATAAACACAAACTGCCATCTGAAAAAGTCCCGTTTAGATTATACAGCTCTTTTAATTTAAACAGCATAAACTACTTTAAGCATTAGCTCATGTATTGTATAAAAATACAAACATTCTAAAGGACTACCATTCGCTTCAGTTATGACCTAAAATATTTCTTCCGCATAAAGGAAAGCAGAACAATAACCATTTGAAATGCTAGTTAAAACACAAGTAATGATTTTTACCAACCTACTGAACAGTTAAGAAACATAAGAGATAAATACATAAGACATATAAAACATAAACAGAAGAGATATAAACATAGAGAAGAAAATGCCTCCCACAGGTTTTATTACACCTCACTACCAACAATGGCATATTGTAAAAAGCAGTTGTGAATTCTCAGTATGAATTCTGTTAGTCACTACAGGTACACAATACATACTCCATTTATTTAAAACAAGAGCACATGGATAAAGAAGACTCCTTCATACCTTCCTCCTGGGTATACTTCCTACCTGAAAGATCATGTCTTGTAATAAAGCTCTCTGGATTCGCTGGAAACACCCTTTCTGCAGTTGTGATACGACGTGCCACACAAATCATGCAGGACTGCAAATCTGTATTTAAAAAAGAATGTTTCTTCTTTCTTAATACCCCGTTTTATTGTATTGAAGAATCTAATAAAATAGCTGATGCATCTTTTGTTGTTACAATGGAAACACAGACAGTAAGGATTAAAGTTGCTGAGTTCTTGAAAATGGTTTGCAAAACAACAAAGAGCTTTTCATAGAAATTTCTATGCATGACAATTCCACAAAAATTCCTACCTTCCCCCTCTTCCATCATAGCTCTTGGCTGCGATAAAGCGAAGCATTGCATAGTTTCATATCTTTGACGTATATCCTGGCAGCCACCTCCATCTTCCAAGAAATCATGAGAGCTTTTCACCATCATCCGGCAATTGAATGTATGGCTCTTCTGTCTAGGTGTTTCATTAGTCCAAGCAACTCCATTCACTTAAAAGAACACAGTAAGAATTCATACAGATTTTCAGTTACAATCAACTCATAGCTGATTCTTCTTCATTTAGATATCCTGTTCCTAGATTACAGATATTAAAGACTATTTTAAGATGCCTTCTCAATATACCATCACTATAGCTTGGTATGAAATAGGAGTATTAAGCACCAAGGAAAAGACACTCTCTGTTTTGCACTTGAAGGAGTGCTGAAAAGTCATGCACGTATTTTAAAAACAAGCAGTTCCTTCAGCTAGCCTTGTGGTATTAGGGAAGGCGCTCCTTTAGTGTCACTCTTTTAAAGTCACAGGTAAACAAATTGCAAAGGCTAAAGTAAAGTGTGAATTTCCAGCATACTTATTTTTGATGGCATGCTATTGTAAAAACACAGTAATACTTATCAAGATAGAGATATTTTTGTAGTAAAATATCCTTTATATAAGTAATCTGTTTTGAAAGGTTATCATTTACAAGGTATTTTTTCTTCTCTGATTGCTTTCAAGTAGTCTAGTAAGTGTAGTGAATCAACTTTTACTACCTGAAGATTTAGGTAAGTTTTTAAGAAAATCCTTCTGGTCCTCTTCATGCAGGATACCATAGACACTTGTATTAACCAAATCTTCTTGCTTATACTGCAGATACTGTGCAACATTTTCTGATACAAATACTATGTTCCCATCTCGATTTACAACAAAGAGGAAGCCATCCAGTGCCTAAATATTAACGTGACAACATATCATATAAGACATACTGACTAATTTTGAACATAATATAGTTCAAAAACTGTGTGGGTGATAAATGTCAATTTACAATATATTCACTGATTTTCAAGGACAGAGATGAAGTTTTAAATTCTTCTTTGAGGAAAAGTGTGTTTGGTAGGGAATTACTTAAATAATAATAAATAATAATAATTAATATGTCCATGTGATATTCCATTCAGCTTTCACATTGATAACCAGCCTTCTTGTTTCATTCTTGATTCATATGAACAGTAGATCATGAATTTATAACATTAATTCAATAGTTAACAAATTGAAATAAGAAGATCAGTAGAAACAAGTAGTAAATCATGAATATGAAGGCATTTCCATTATCAAGTGATGAGACAGGAGAATCTAGCCAAATACTGTATGTTCTTAATTGAAAGAGAAATTCAGTATCGATGTTAAAAAATTAAGCTTCAAAAACGCTTTGATGAACTTGTAAATATCAGACTGGCTTTCTAGGCATAAAGAAAGGCTATATGCTATGTACCTTTGTTTACTATTATTATTGGGTTATTTTACTTTATGGCAACATTCATTTAAAATGCTTCATAATTTAGTAACACAAATGGAAACATACGTTACAAAGCTCTCCTTGCAAAAATTCCTCCATTTAATATCTATCCCCTACAAGAAATAAAATATTCCTTGTACAAATAAGCACTGTTTCGGTAGAAATTTGCTAATGACCGCTGGAGTAAATAAAGCATAGGAATATTAAGAAAAGTCAAAGGCTATTCTATTTCCTTCTACAGAGAATTTCAGCAAAATTAAGAAAGCATGATAGATTTTATTCCTGACCCTTTCAATCATACTTCTGAATGGTTCTTGCATGCTATTTTATTACTACAGGATTGCATATTTAATTGTAATGTTTTCACCTGCGTTAAGTATTTGGTTCCATAGGGATTTACCAGAGCATAGTTTGTACTTGCCTGTAATAAAAGAGGTCCCAGTGAATCCTTGTCAATAACTCCTTGACCCGTGGATGATACATCAGCTTTCTGAACATCATCATCATTAGAAACTGCTTTTCCTGAAAGCCAAAAGATACATTTCCCTAAAGCAACTTTTCATGTGAAGGCCACATTTTAATATTACAAGCCTGATCCTAGGAAGCATGTGAAATAAAGGCAAAAAGAAGCACAAATGAGAGAGGAGGGCTCATACACTGTTGGTCACTAAGACCAGAAAAAACGTCATGGCTACATAACGCCAAAGTCTTTGCTCACATAAACTGAACTGTGTGTTGAAGCTGACATGATGAACTTGCTTTGTGAACATTTCTTGTTGTTTTTCAGATACTGTCAGATGAATACCTGCTGAGTCTTGCAATAGCCATTAAACACACTCATTATATATATCTCTTTCTTGTGGTTTTTATTTTGATCTCATTATCATTGGTCACAGTCTTCAGATGCCATCACCACTGTTCCACAAAAAGGCTTTGATTCATGTTAACAGCTGTATGTTGGTATGTGTATATATGTGTGTGTATACATATAATAAAACCATATCCTAAGAATCAAAATACCCTAAGTTAATTGATTGCAGGGGAAGGTGGAATGGGAATCCATGCCATGTGGCAGAATTACAGAAAAAAACATCATGAACTTTATTTTGTGGTACTTGCTGGCTGGTTAAGCAGACCACAAGAGGAGTACAACATCCCAACTCTACAATGAAATATTAGAATACACTAGGTGACACTACAAAAAACCTTAAATACAGAAGATGGATTTTAAAAATCATTTTTGCATGTCTTCATAAGATGTGTAATATACTGCAACAGGTAAGATATACACCACAATACACCACAGCATATTCTATTTTTTTAATGCTTTACTGCCCAAATGACACACGTAGACTTGGGAGGCTAGCCTTTGGGAGGTGGAGATGGGGGTGGGGTGGTGTTTAAAAAAAGAAACTGTATAAACCCCTCACTCTATATTTCAAAACATGGGTTCTGCATACATCTGTTGGTTAAAAAAAAGTATTATATCACTTAGGTTTACTCTACCTAGCTGACAGAAATTACCAAGTTATGATGCATTGCTTCTTTCTCCTTTGTTGAGCTGGCTATATTCTGAGTACACTCAATCACACTAAAAAAGCAATTTAAAAAAATCCATAAAAATCACTATGACTGATTGAAGGCTTGCCCATAAGAAAAGGATATGTTTCCTTGAAGTGAAAGGCAACAGCATGTATTCATACCCATGAGTATTTGGTATAGTGTACTAGCAGATGGTAGAGTAGCATCTCCTTTTTTTCACCTTGTCTGTGGTACAAAACTGGAAAGAAAGGCTATACAAAGTTTTAAAATGATGATTCCCAATAAAAAGTGATGATAAATACTTGTTTACCTTTAAGCAGAAAATTACTTAAGGCACATTTATGGTCTGAATCGAGTCAGTCTAAAGACCTGGTCAGTTACATGCTATTGTGAAAACCACTATTCAATTTCCCGAGTAACTATTGCTTCAAAAAAAGAATCACAATGAAATTAAACTATTAATTTTGACTTAGAAGGGAAACGTACCTTGCTCTTTTATTTGTCGAATGTGTCTCACGGTTTCTTTTAAAATAGCACATTTGTCTGGTTTGACATTGAAATTGTCAATGTCACTCAGATTAGCAGATATCAGCTCAGCCAGTTCTTCAATATATTTGCTTTCCTGCTCACGTCGACGCTTCTCACCACTGCAGACCAGGAATCAAAAACATTGCTTTTTATACCTACATACCATCCTATACAAAACCTGTGCTCACTCTGTGAACAATAATGTACTTCACTTAATATCCAGCCGTTACACCTAGGCAGTAGTTATTCTTCCAGAAAACATGAATCTGAAGGGCAAATGTGTGTGTTTTGTTACACTGCTATTTGGTTTGGGCTTCCTGTTTGGTTTGCATCTTTTTTAAGAATTTGAAGTATAAATTTATATCAAGAGGATAGAAGAAAGCTATTAATAAAAAAAAATCCTCCTGCTTTTACTCTATTACTCTACTGTCAGATTTAATGAAAACAGCAACTGATTTTGTTATAAAACTGTAGCACTCATAGTAAAAGTGTATTTTAGAAGTTGCTTTACAGTTGCTAAAAATTTACTAGACAAATGAAACTGAATTTTAACATTCTATTAACTCCCTTCAGTTTCACTGTAAAGAGATGACTATAGAAGGTGATGCCTCATAAATTTCTAGGCATAAGGATCTAAACGCCATCTCAACATGCAAGAAAAGCAGAATCCCAGACAACCTAATGTTGCTGGGTAAAATGTCTCTTTGAAATTCTTTTTCCTACCCAGGTTAATATGCTGAATAAAGAGACCCTCTACAGCCTAAATCAACAGGGAGAAATGCCATCCACAGCACGGCAAGAATAAGAAAAGAAGGACTCAGGGCAGGGGAAAGAATGGATACATCAAGGTAATTGAAGGAGAATAATCAGTCTTTGAGAAGTGGAGGAGTTAGGAAAGTATGCACAGACTAACACTGGAGCAAACTAATATTTGACAAAGCAGGAGCTTGAAAGATAAAGCTAAGGAAGGGAGACAATATGAAAAACAACTCCTGAATGGACAGAGAGACAGTGTAGAAAGGGAAAGAGAGAATGGAACAGAGGACACTCTTAAAAAGACACTGGGGTACAGTGGAAGCATTTGAGGGTCTCATACACAATCTGTTGAACAATGAAGGCAATTGGCATGGGGAACTGGGGATGTATATATAAAAGGGACAAATATATATATAAAAGGTACACGTAATGCCTGATGACGAACTTAATAAAAGTTAATACTCTATGGGAAGAAGAACATGAAAGGATAAAAGAGAACATGTGGTGGAGAGCAATGAAGCTTGTGGGGAACAGAAAATTGAGTCCCTCAGACTCACAGTATCTGAGAGAGCTGGGTGAAAGACAGGAAGATAACATAGATTGCCAAAATTTAAGATGAACTTGAAGGAAATGGAACTACAATCAAACCAGCAAAAAGCTCAATCTCTTGCAGTACTCTTTGCTAAATGTGCCTGAAATGAGGCCCATCAAATCAATTACCAGATATGAGATGATGCCTTTAAAATTCCGGTGAAGCAAAAGGTTTTTCTTCTTTTGCCTTGAAATCACAACTTTGAAAGGGATTCGTTACCTAATGGAAGGTATATCCCTGCCCATGACAGGAACTGGAACTAGATGACCTGTAAGGTCCATTCCAACTCAGTCCATTCTATGGTATGTCCATTGTATTAAAATTTCCACAGAAGTCTAATTATAAAGCACAGTTCATCAACTTTGGCATATATACACCTAATAGTAAAGTTACCTATCTTCACAACAGAAGCTGGCCTAGAGAGTTTTCCAACTAGACAAATTCCTTAGTTAAAACTTACTCTAAATTGCAATGCAAATTTGGAAAGCATTTTTAAAAACTCATTAAAACCAGGGAAATTCTATATACACCTACCTCGCACCTGGTGTATCAGAAGTCAATGGCTTGCGCTTCCTTGACTCATTAGTCAAACTATCTAAGGAGTTTTCTCCTAATCCACTCATCTTGACCAAGCATCAGCAACTAAAAGCAATGAAATAATAATTGTGAATGAAAAGCTCAAAATACTAATTTAAAATACAGAGAACTTATCCAGATAAGTAATTTGTTTTTATCAGATTTACAAGTGAATTTTCTTAATGCAAATCTATAAACCTTTTGCTACTAAAAAATATTATTTGCTTACCTTTCTTTAAAATCTACCCTGTATTTAGCCAAAACATAGGTTATTAATGCTTTCTATCCCTGTAAGCAAAAGTAAAGGTTAAAAATGCATTTAATTTTTTTCAGAGATATTTAAAATCTGCACCATTGAACTGGGACCACTCTATAGCTCCAATTAATCTGAAAAAAAGAGATTCTCAGTATTTAAAAACATATCTAAATAACCTGAAAGGAAATCAATAAATTAATGCTATACCAAAACACAGTTCCAGAAACAAATAATTTTCATCCTTAGGAGTAAACCAGGGCGCTTACAGGAATTTCATACCCATCTCTGCATAAAGTCAACAGATTACTATTATCACCTTTACACGTTACTATAGTTTTCACATCTCTTTCTAAACCTTCTAAAATCAATACAGTTTTCTAAAACTTTGAGGCCAAGGCAAGCAAAGACTTCAACCGTCTTTCATTTCTATTGCTTCCACAGCAAAGATTGGGCCATAATCCGATAAAATACCAGGTGATTTTGTTGAAGTCTAATTAGGTTAAACAAACCTGGCGGATTAGATATATATGATGCTTCTCTGCCCTCACTCCCAAGAGAAAAAAGGAGCACAGACACAGACGAGAGAAGAACACCGTGTCAGGTCCTGCTATGCTAGAATCAACAACACACTGAGGGAGGAAAAAAATGCAATGGATCTATGCTATGTATCTAGTTGGACTACTTTAGAACATAACTAGAACTATAAAATGATCTAAAAAATTTGGTTTTGGTCTTTTGTACTACAGTGAGACAAAACAGATCTAGGCAGTTAGAAATTTGGTACTATTTTATCCTTTTTACAGAAATTTCCAAATTACATGTAAATTTAATTTACTGCACTCTAGTTCAGACTGGAGTCTTCACCCTATACAGCAGTGGCAATAAATGGTGCTAAATACTTAGTTAATAGACCTAGACTGGTCAGAGAGAACTTTTTTGTATAAAATAACCCAGGCACTAAGAAATCGTTCACATAATAAGTTCTTTGACTCCACAAGCAAAAACTACCATTATGACACTTGTTAAAAGAAGCTGGCCTAGGATGACCAAATTCCTAGGAGTCAATGATCACACATCACAAGGACAAGGAACTGATAGAACTGAATGAAGTTTATGTTAGGGTATCTTCTATCAGAGGCTGGTGGCCAACTGACTCAAGCAGCTCTGCAGAACAGAATATGAGCACCCTGTTGAACAAGAAGTTAGTTAAACACAAGTCAACAGTGTATCCTTGCAGCAAAGACAACCAACCCCTCAGAAAGGGCACCCAATCAACTAACTGCTTTCAGGACAAGATACCTAAGAAAGAAAAAAGGAGTGCACGTAGCACTTTAGAGGTTACTAATGTTGACTGACCAACTGCCTGCATTTTTGCTTATTAGCTTCTTGTGGGGGGGAAAAAAAAAATCTGCTTTAGTTTTTTCTGAAGTCTAAACTGAAAGGACAAAGACAAACAAGAACAGATTTGCACAAAGCAGCACGGAGGTTTTTAATTCTACATGTGGAGAATTCAAAAGAACATTCTTCTTATATCAGTACTAAATTTTGAAAGCTAGACAGGACAGAGGACTAGAATGTGTAAAAAGCCCGGAAATAAAATGGCATCTTTTTAAAGTACAAATTCTCTTTGCACCTAAGAAAATGTTACAATGCTTAACACAAAATTGTATCATAGACAGTACTCATGCCAACTGATATGCATTACAAAAGGAAGGATAACATGTTTTCAAAATGGCATCAGAACTAAACTCAGCAAACATATTCTTCCATTTGAAATAAAAAATTACAGAAGATGCCTAACTCTGTAGTATAGGCATGAACAGTGTAGATAAGAACTTGGTCTTATATATAAGTATTTGATAAAGAAACAGAATGTATAAGACAAACCCAATAGAGAGATGGAAGAGCAAGTCTGAAGACCTTTATCCAGGGCAAAGACCTCCCAAATACATACATAGTGGCCTATTTTATGTGAAGCTCAAGAAAAATACACTGTTAGGCCACTAGATGACAGTACAGAACCGGACAACTGCAGGGGTCATACTTCAACTACGCAGCTGAATGAAAAACTACTCATCTGAACAAGTAAGCAGCTGGAAAACAGAGATTATAAAAACAGCTTATGATCATGCAAAATGCAGTTGATTATCTGAAGCTGATATTCAGCATTACGTACGACTCAAGGTCTTAGGTCTACAGACCTCACCGCTGAGGCTGCATCTTCAGTCATGCTGTGGGTGACACATGTGCACACTTCCAGTTACTCCAGGAATTACAGTTCCTCCCTGGAACTACATTTACAGGCTGAGTATAAACAGAGCTGAAGGTTTAAGAGCTAATGTGGAAAGAGAAAGGAAGAGCTTAAAATGCAAGTCTTAAGGCTAGCTCAGGAAGGGTGTGGACAAAGCAAGTATGTCTGAAGCCAAGAGTAAATTCTGCTTAAGAGAAGAAAGCATTTGAAACACATTAAGCAGTTGAAAATTCGAGCTCGGACATTTCACTCTAACATAATTTTGAAGGTTACATGGTTGTATTAAATGATTTAGAATAAAAATGTCATTTTTGGTTTAACATCTACTTGTACTGTATATAACATATGTAAATAACTTCACAATGTAATTAAATAGAAAACCAAAATTTACTACATTTTTTCTCAGAAACATGATAAATATAGGAGCTTAGACAAGGAAGGAAAAATCAGTAATTTGCACAGGCTGTTTCCCTACTCTTACACGCAAGTAGCTGGTGGTACTTCACTCTGCTGCACATGTATTTTCCTTTCCCTAAGAATATCATTACAAGCTGCGCAGGCAGGTCATGCCTAGAACGACTCTAACTGTTTAGCTAAGGAAATTACAGAAGCTGCTTCCCAATACAGATGGATTTACAGAACAAATTGTTAACGGTCAAACTAATTTTCCAGCTACAGGAAGTATTTGCAAAAGAAGCTACTATGCAGTGAGTTAATAATGAAAGAAATCACCAGTTTTAAAAGTACCAGGTGCTATATTTTTTCATTGAAGATGAACCTGTAATTTCTAATAGGCTAAAAAGTTTTTCCAAAAGGAAGGCTATTTTGGGGGTTTTGGGGAGTTTTCCTGAAGTTAATTATTTCAAAAGACAGCTCTGAAACAGAGGTTTAAAAAGTTGAAACTTTTATACATTTTTGCTACTAAAAGAAAAAGGAAATAAATTAACACAGGCATCTTTGTAAACTTACTTTCTGAGCTAAGAAGCAACAACATTATTTCTGGCTTACAAACCATTAATGCTAGCTACAAAGACTTCTCTGCTAGTTATACACCACACATTATTACATACCTAAAATAAACATTTCTTAAAGAAAAGAATTAAAGTGAAATTCTTTCTGTTATTTGCATGATTAAAATAAATCTGAAAGCTAGCTTAATTTGACTGAATAGCTCAGTTACTACATAAAACTGGGCAAATACAGGAAATTCTAGTAAATTTCAGATCAGTATAAATTACCCAAAACAAAGTCTTCAAAACAAACCTTCAGAGGTACTGTTCAATTCCATTGATTGTAGGAATAATGAACCACTATATCATGATGCTCCTAGCCCCATCAAGTGGAGTGGAACCAAAGGCAGCAATATTTGGAGCAAAATTTTTCCAAACTTCCATGATTATTTGCAACATCTTTTCAGGTATAATCTGAAGTTTTCCAACATTCTTCTCAATGCAAGAAAACAAAAAACTAAGATCTTCTTGCTCAGCAATAACTGTGCTGATTATTAAGGTGCTCATGCCTATACCCTTTGCAATGTACCATATGCTTTTCGTATGTCAGGTCTATTCACTTCTCAGTGAAAAGCGTAAATGATTTGTTGTAGAGGTACTGGGTTTTGTAGATGGCAGGTAAGTTTCAGTAATTACTAATCCATCCATTGCAACAACATATCTACAGCCCTCCAAACAAAATCATAGAATTCAAAAAAATCATGAGCATTTATGAGTAGCAGTGTCCAACCTGCCAGGGTTTCAGTATTTTGACAGGGCAAAATCCATTGTCTTCTAAAATTCCACCCTGGAGTAACAAGAAAACAATGCACATACCAACAATACAGTATGTTTGCAATGGAGAAAGTTCCTCAGGCCATTTCCTACTGAGCATTCAAGCCAAAAGGATGTTGAAATTACTAAGCACAGTAAGAAGAAAGTTCTCAGTTTGATACAACTATTTCTTCCCTGGTCTTACTCAACTCACCCCCACAGAATCTGGAAAGCTACTAAAACTTCATATCCCTTAGATTGCTTCCTGTTAGTCTTTCAATGCACTCTTTTCCTTGTCCAGCTCAAGTGTGCCCCTGTCCTCAGTAGCTGGTAGATGGAAGACCTCTTCACCAACCAGCACATGGGAAGTAAGGTTTTGTCCTAGCAGGGGCCCAAAAATACAAACAATTACATGCTTCAGATTTAGTTTTTGTATCTGTTTTGCTGAAACAGAAGCCCTCCAAAATGCACAGCTATACAATACTAATTTAAAACGTATCCAAAATATTTTATTAAATCATGTTTTTTGCATGAAAACATTTTTAATACTTTGCTGGTCCCATGAAACCACCAAATTTTTCCTATATTAAGCATGTGTACTAGCAGTATCTTGCATCCTTGGAAGCTCTTTTGTCTGAGCTGATTTCTTGTTTGAAGAATTGACTAAGCAGAGCTTAGCATTACTCATTAATCCAGTTACAAAGAATTAAATCTAAAAAGTTCATTTCAATGAATCATGAGGATGCCCTGGATCATTTTAAGATTGTATATAATGTTAAAATAGTAAATATAATCCTCCCTCCTAAAAATCAAGATATAAGATATACATTTCTGCAAGATGCAGATTGCAATATTTAAATTTTGATAAAAAATAAAACTAGAAGATGTTCCATTCTGCAACTCAGTATACTTAGTGGAAATTTGTTATTTCAACTTTGTATCTCCCTCAAATACATGTAAAAACATATCAAAGGTTTCCAGTGAAACTTCTGATTCAAAATACTCTTGATATTATACAGATTCTTCTGCTCTAAGACTGACCACAGAAGCAACTGATGTTTCCACTTACACAGACAGGGATCCACAAGATTATAAGCAGCAATTTCACTTTCTGGCAGTGGTGCAGTAGGGTTTTTGGTGTAAGCTGGTTTTTTTTCTTCTTTCTTCCCTCTACTCCTTTTCCTTTTTTAAGTACATGTTTTTTATATACTAAACTGTAGCTTTAAAAGTGTTCAGGTATATATAGTCTAAATGTGAGATCACTTACTAGTCCTTACTTACTAGTTACTTACGAGTCCTTAGCAAACATTCAAGCAGTGCATATTTTTCAGAGGACCTTCAGAATCAGAAGTCATTTTAAGTCACATCCTGAAAAACAAAAAAAATATATAATAGGTATTTTCAAGTAACTGTCATCTCTGCTATACAGTTGAACAGTTGACCATTCAACTCTGTTGTCCCTACTCTAAACCCACATGCTCCTCTTCTAAATACAGAGGTATTAGCCAACTGCTTAACATCTTAAATAAAAAAAATCTTTTATTTTAACACTGTGGTCTGTTCTGCTTCACATTAATTAGTTTTGGTTATTAGGGTGCTTATATCAAAGCACAGACATGCACTAAGTGCTTGGCATTTGGGGCTGTGCAGTCAGCTTCCCCATCAGATCTCACAATGTCAGTCCAACCTTCAACACACAAGCATACAATTTCCTGTCTAAAGCCTGCTCGACCAAAGCCCAAGAGTGCTCAAACGAAAACATCATTCAGCATGTTTTGATCTCAATGAGCTCAACATACTGACCTTTAACTGATTTCCCCACTCTCGGGATGATTATACAAAGATAATCAATTCACATCATGTAGAAACTTAGCATCCAACACAGCCTGGCTACCAAATCTAAGTTTACATATGGCAGGTTTTTTGATCCAACTTTTAAAACACATAAAGAAACATCATTACATTACACATTACATGGATGAGATGGCTAAGTGACAAGTCATATTATTACCTGTGTCACAGACAACAACAATATGACAGACACCTAAAGACAGAACACACTACACTGTGTTTGGGTTAAAAATACACCTATATATAATGTGCCAGATATGGTAAACACAGTGGTTACTTTTTAAAAGACATAAAAATGGTAGCATTTGCAACCTTCCTTAAATGTTTCAGAGATAAACAATGTGCCTATTTAAAAAAAGAACCCGAATACAATACACTTTAAATTAAATGCATAAGATCAACATATTTTTAAACCTCTGAGGGAGGGGCAAATGCGGCAGATAAAAAATGCCACTGAACCTTTACTACAGCTTTGTGAATCTGAAAGTGCAATGTAACAAACTACTGAAACAGACACTCATGCACACTGAGTAAATAAAGAGGTTTTGATGTACTGTAACTAGTTTATACTAAAAAGTCTTTCATTACCTTTTAAGATGAAAGCACCTATACTTATATGATGAAGCAAACAGGAAATTGTATTAGTTGTATTGATGTACCACTGTGCTAATCCTGCACTTCCCCCATCAGTACAGTAACTAATAAAATACTATTCCAAAACATAGGCATTTGATCATTCTCACCTCTTTCTCCCTCCCACATTCTTCTCACAGACAAAAAGGTGATTTGATAGGTCATTTGATAAATGACCCAGAGACTTCACTGAAGCAGCACTTTCAGTTAAAAAAAAAAAAAAGTGCCATCTATAATGCCAGTGAAGCACAGTTTGTTGCAACATGTTAAATATTCCTAATTTCACACACATTCATTTTATCGTGCACATTCCATCTTAGGGAGACTGATTTTTCAGACCTTATCAGTTCGTCTCCCGCTCCTCTGATAAATAATGTGTGATACCTATTTTTGGAATGTCATTACTTGTTAATTTGCTTCCTACGCATCCCGGTTTGCCAGTCAGAACAACAGATAAAGGACCATGTTAACAGCAAACAAAATGTAAGACAGAGAAAAGTGGGGCCCCAGTGAACCCACTGTTATAAAAATGACTATTTTTTATCATTATGCCTTCACCACACACTGCCAAACACTTGTAAGAATTTGTCACTTGTCAGCTTCCAAACAAAGCACTGTGCTGAAGTGGCCACTGCATCTCATCAGAGCTCCAAAGATATGTGAGCTGCATTCTAGCTTCAGAACAACTGCTGTCCTCAGAGCTCAGCTGTGAACAGGTACTACCTTATCAGGCTAGATGTGCTTGTTCAGGATATAGCTTTTGCAAGGAAAAGCCAACTGGGCATGATGCAGCCATGCTACTTATTTGAATGATCCTGGCAGTGAGAACTGATATGCTCAAACACAGCAGGCCAAGAAAATATTGAAGGGGGTTTTCAATCTTGACTAATTTCCAAGCCACTCTGCTGGAAGAGGTAATTTGGGCTTTCAATACAGCTGATGGCTTCAGTCAAGTGGTTGTAGAATATATTTAGAGTGTTTTTAACATAGGTAAGTCCCTAAAGACTGGTATCTAAAAAGAGGTGGTAAACAGTTATTCTAAAAAAAACAACTTAAAATTTACTGAACATATACATATATAGAAACAGAAAAATCTCTAGCTCAAATACCAGAAAGAAACAGGAAGTGATGTCTGGGTTTCCACAATGGGACTTCCAACAACGTAACCAGTAGGAAACAACAGAACACCACTATTATATTCTGTAAAAATATGCTCACAATAATTTCAGCCCCTCTTCCTAAATACTGAAAGGCAGTTCCAAGAAACGTAGTGTGCTGCACTACCAAACCTCTAGTACTGGACAGAAGCACTGATCACCCTCTGAAAAAAAAAGTGCCAGAAACTGGGTGGCATGCAGTCATGAATTTGCAGCCAGCTGAAATACACAATCCTTTCAAAGGGCACAGGTATTTGAAGGAACAGAATTCAACACAACTAACAGTAACAAGAAGCACCTTAACTAATCTAGCTAAATGTGTCAGCATCCTATAAAACAACTAGAAATTAAGCTGCATGGACAGATTTTTTACCTTTTGAGTGCTGGGAAATAAAGTAAAAAAACATAAAAGGATGTTGGTACAAGACATGTAGTGCAAAATACAGAACAGTTTCCTGTTTCTGTAAATGCTTGTTTTTTCTATACATAAATAACCTACCTCAAGACCATGAAAAAAGTAAATCTGCTTGCTTCCAGAAAGATAATTTTTAATGATGGAAGACCACTGCTACTGCTTGCTCAACTAAACCATTTGTATATCTATGCAACTAATATGTTCCCTGAGCAAATACAAATTGTCTACCATGACACCTCAATGTACGGAATCAAGAGGTGAAACACATATGGTGTTCCCCGTACTTCAAGGAAATCTACATCTATGCCAAGATCTAAAATCTAAATTCACTGTCTCCATACCATGTTTCCTGCCCTCTGACAGACAGGAAACATGGTATCGACGGTAGCTAGTCTCAAAATAGAGCAGGAATGTCTATGTTCATATTGATATTAAAATACATAAAATTAAAAGTATTTTTTTTCAAATTAGTTATCCCTAATATTCCTAGTTGCTTTAACAGCACAGGTGAATACACCTGCCTTTAATCTTCAGGATAGCATAAATATAGCTTTAAAATTATATTACACAGTTACATTTCATACTAAAACTGCACTCCCCCTTGGTGATATTTTTAAGTTAACCATCTTCTGCCATATTTTGCCATAGATTGCCAGTATATACAAATACTGGCAGCTAAATCTACCTCTAGTAGAATAGAATCTCACTCAACTGGAATAATTTAAAAATTACTTGTGACCTAAATTTCATTTTGTATAGCCTATGCCAATTTGCCTGAGAAAGGAATCAAAGGAGGAATGGTCATTAGAGTTTCATGTGAGAGAAGAACCCAGAAGAGTGTACACATCTGTGACATCTCAACATGAATAGAGACAATAGGAGCCTTATACAGCTATATGGAGCGTGTGGGGGAGGAAGGCTTGCAAACCTTTTTTTTTTCTGTAACATGAAGATGTGAATAATATTGTAAAATGCAGTTAGAAAGCCACGTGGAATAACTAAATTAGTCTGTTTCTTGTTGGATTTCTTAGCTGAATTCAATTTTTAGATTAATCAGGCAGCAGTCGTGTAACACACACACAGAAACAAGGAAAGGAAACATAAGTAAAGACTTTCCCTCATTAAACAGACATATACACAGTGTGAGACATATATTCTGAAGTTTCTAGCACATTACAAAGTTGTATTTATTTCTTCATTACATCACATCATTTGTAGCACCTGTTCAAACTATTAAAACCAGTATCTCATCAAACAGTTTTAACAGGGAAAGGAAAAGTAAAAGGAAGGCAGCAAATTAATCAGTTACTGCTTGTGCACACGAAGAAATTGTGAAAGATGGTGTAATTGTCCTATGAGGTTAGTTGTGTTTAACAGAACAACATGCAGCTTAGAAACAGTGTGGAATATCAATTTACACATCTCTAGACATTATGTGAGGACATCCCCAGCCCTCAAGACAGAAAAGTGATTACAGCAGCCCTCTTATGACTGTATTGCAATAAGAGAGAGAGATGATGCTGCCTCTCAAGTTTTCAAGAATTCTGGATAATAGCTGTTATACCTACATAGCTTTTGGAGCAGAGAACATCAAAAAATTACCTACATGGCTCCATGAGAAAGTTAAAGGGGATGCCACAGGGAAAAGGTGATCTAAAAAGTGGAAAGCTTGTTTACATGGGAAGAACTGAAAATTAACTGAAACAGGAAGTACAGGAGTAAAAAAACCAGAAGACTGCACCTTGCACTAACTACAGCTGATTATAAAAAGGTGTTTAAGTAGCACATCAGAAACAGGAAACCAGCTAGGGAGACAGTGGACAAAGGCATAAACTACGCACTCAGAGAGAATAAAGTCATACCTCTGAAAATTTCTTCATGTTGGCCTTTACCTTTGTCAATCCAAAATAACGCAGAAAATGCATTGAATCCATTCTGCCTCTTAGGAGTGTCTGAGATTAACTAAGGTTTAAAACCATGCTGGTTCCTAACAGGAACAAAGAAATCTCATCTTGAACCTTGACTTTTTAACAAACTGGTTTAGCAAACTCTTAATTCCAGACTGGCTTCAGACACTAATTTATCTTTCATCTTTGGCAATTTAGATATTAGTTGAAGAAGAAAATTATTTCCTAATATAAAAAAAGAAAAAAGAAAATTATTTCTTATGTCATCTGAAGTATCTTCCATGTTGAAAGGTTTAGTATGAATGCTAGTAAATGTTAGTATGATGTTTTTATTAAGCATATTAGTAAGGAGAAAAAAATGTATCTTTCACCATTGATCAGCAATTAAAATTATGATAATCACAA